CCCCCCCCCTCTCTCTCTCTCTATCTATCTATCTATCTATCTATATATATATATATCTATATATATCTATATATCTATATATCTATATCTATCTATCTATCTATCTATCTATCTATCTATCTATCTATCTATCTATCTATCTATCTATATATTCTACCTACCTACCTACTTACCTACCTCTATCTAGCTATCTACCTACCTATCTCTATCTTATATCATTTAATCTTAGGGTGTTTATAATGTCTTGGTAAGACCACACTTGGAATCATTGCATCCAGTTTGGGTTGCCCCGATATAAAAAAAGATGTCGAGACTCTGGCAAGAGTGCAGAGAAGGAGCGACAAAGATGATTAGGGGACTGGAGGATAAAAAGAACTGGTTGCAAGAATTGGGTTTGTCTAGTTTAGTGAAAAGGACTAGGAGTGACATGATGGGGTTTAACCTGTTTTCCAAAGCACCTGAAGGCAGAACAAGAAGCAATGGATGGAAACTAACCAAGGAGAAAAGCAACCTGGAACTAAGATTAACCAGTGGAACAGCTTGCCTTCCGAAGTTTTGGCTGCTCCATTTGAGGTTTTTAAGAAGAGACTAGACAGCCACTTGTCTAGAATGGTATAGGGTCTCCTGCTTGAGCAGGGGGTTGGTCTAGAAGACCTCCAAGGTCCCTTCCAACTTTGTTATTCTGGTGGTGGGAAACATTCCATGCAGGATGTTCTGGCCAGAAGGTGCCCAGTCCTGCTTAACTAAGTGGTTATTTATTTAAGGTATCCAGCCCAGTTTGTTTATTTGTTGGATTCTTATCTTTATTTCATTTATTAAATTTCTACTTCACCTCTCTCACCTAAGTAATTCTGGCCGGTTATAAGTAACTCAAAGCAGCCAAGGTACATAAGATTCCTTCCTCTTCCTGTTTTCCCCCATAGCAACCCTGTTTGATGGGTTGGGCCGAGACAGCGTGACAGGCTCAAAGTCACCCAGCCGACTTTTGTGCTTAAAACTGAACTAGAACTCACCTTGAGATTATCTTCCCAAATTGTAAAAAATGCTCTGCTGTAAAATTGATTTGTCTGGGTTGTGACACTGGTTGTTATGTTCCAGGATTTTATTGCTGGTGTTTGCTTTCAGGAGTTTTCAGGGTTTGTACAATCTGCTAAACAATATTTCTGGAATTGGATAGACATGTAGCAATTTCCCTTGAATCTGGCTATGTGGTTAGAATAATATTCTGCATGTGCCAGGAACAACTTTTTAATGGGCACATGTTGAGCAGCAGCTGCCTTTGCCTTGCGGGATTATGAAAATGAATCTGAGTAGGATTTCAAATGAGCAAGAGGGGTTTGGTTGTTGTTCTTTTGAATCCTACCTGATTGCTAGTTTTGGAATTGCAATACTCCAGCATAAATTTTTGATTGCCAAAGGGAAATCAGGTGCCACCCAACCATGCTGTCTGGTATGAAATTCCAAGAAGGCACAACTGCATTTGCTTGCTTTGTTACAAAGTGGGTGTGGGTTGTGAGACGGGAGATCTTTGCTGTAGTTCTGCATCTCTGCAGTTTCGTGTCTTGCCTGAGGCATAACATCTTTTCCCTAAAACTGCCAAGGAACTGCTCTATCAGACCATGTGCAGTGGGCTTTTTTTAAATGAAACAGTAATTCAGGATAAAAGTTGGAATTCAATCCTTTTTTAAAAATTATATCTGTCATAACTTAAAACAACAAATATTGTATTTATTGGGGCTAGTGGTTTAGACCACTAGCCTTAAACAATTGGGAGTGGTTTTCAACAAATGAAGTACATGAAAGCAACAGTTAAACACCACAAAACATAACTCTCCCCTTGTGCCAGAGCATTGCTTTAACTCTAGTATCGAAATCCTTTTTTTAAAAGTCCATGTAAACTGCCTTCCAGCATGTAACAATGATTATTTGGATCTCTGGAGATAAAAGTGAGCCATAACGGAACATCATAAAAGCAAAGCAGGTTTCCTCTCTTATGTTGAATTGGTGGGTGGGAGCTCAATACCCCGCCCCCATCGTCTAGGCTGGCCTTATACTGATGGTCCTGCAGGCAGTTTATGTCATAGAGGGCTCTGGAAGAAAGCTAGAACATAGAACTGTATTTAGAAGTCTGTGGCTTCGGAGCAGCATTGAGGTTATGTGAAATGGATAATACCTGTTCGTAAGCCATTGCATTTTATAGCATCACTTCCAAGTAGCTTTCGAAGTGATGAGAGTGTGTGGCTAGGGTGTTATCTTCCTGAAAAGGCCATAAATGGCATAGGAGCCAAACCTGGGCAGAATCCCCATTGGTCAAGGTCTCCATTTGCCAATTTATTGCTAATGTAGCTGCTGCCTAAGGGGAGCCCAGATTGTGAAATCCTTCCTGTGGGGCAGATGTCCCCCTCTCTGCACATTTGACAAGAGGAGCAGGCAAAGTACACAATGGTCTGGATAAGCAGGAACCATCTTTCAGGAATTGTTTTTTAGCCTCCAGGCAATGAAACGACAATCCGCTTCCAATTCACATGATCCTGACCTTGTTGATCTTTAACAAACTCCTGAATCTCTTGTTTTCCCCCCCAGGCATCAGGCTTAAAGCCCTGGTGTCCAATCTTGGCAGCTTTAAGACTTTTGAACTTCCAATTCCCAGAATTCCCTGGCTGGGGAGTTTGGGGAGTTAAAGTCCGCAAATCTTAAAGTTGCCTGGGCTGGATACCTCAGGGCTAGAGGATGGGATGAGCTCTGGAAATAGCAATTACATTTATTTTTAAAATTAAATTTGAGATAAATGAGCTGCCTGTGAAAATACGGTTTGCATGTAAATTGTGTGAAGTAATTCCAAATTGTGTCTGAACGATTGGGCTACTTCTATAATTTCCTTTGGATGCAGATATATCACTTCAGGCTCTTTTCCACTCTGGCATGTTGAAAGAAAATAGCTGTAATTCTGCGGTGGAATTATTATCTTAATTTCTTTTTCTTATCCAATCAGTTTGATTGTAAAGGAAATTTGCTTTATGAAATAAAGCATGGTAAACATCTGGCGTGGATTATAATAGTATCTGCAATGGATTATAACTGCATTTTTACCATCCCTTTGCCAAATGGTATTACCAGTGAAACATCTTATCTCCCTTCCTTTTTAGATCATAGTCTCTTAACTGACTGTCACTGAGATTGCTGAACATATTTCTGAATTGCATTAGTCAGTTTTAGATATCCTTGCTTTTTACACTGTATCGTCAAGCACTGTAATCCTTTGGGGAGGGGGGTCTGCTTACCACCAAATATGTGTCCTTAAATGATGCAGCCTGTTAACTTTGCAGGCAAGTTGATTTTTACTTTGACAGTGAGCCTCCGTTGACTGCATCAGTCTTAATGTGTGCTGAGGATAAAGGTTAATAATTTTTTGTGATATTTGCATTTGTTGCTGATGATGAGCCGTATCTCTTTCTAATGGCCAACTCCAAACTTGCTTTCTTTTTTTTAAAAAAAATGTCCCTTGTTAGTGTCAGTGAGTCCACCTCAAACCACAAACTACCAAAAATGTTAAATGATGGTAGAAAAAAATTTGGACAAATTTTTCAGAACATTTGGGGCCCATCAATGTGGAGAGAGTTGATTAGACTAATAGACTTTAACAGTTCAAGATATAAAATGCACTACTAAATTAGTTTAATCCAGAGTTGTTCCAACCTTGGCAATTTTAAGACTTGTGGACTTCAACCCCTGGAATGTTGGATGGGGAATTTTGGGAGTTGAAGTCCACAAGTCTTAAAAGTTGCCAAAGTTCGATATCCCCTGGTTTAACCTTTCAGAGAACAATAAAGAGCAGTTATTATGCTAGGCAATAATACAAATCTATAACCTTTTTAAAAGTGTATCTCCTCATCGGTATTCAAATACTGTAGTTCTCACACACATTCATGAAAGGGTGTGAACAAGTTGCAGAGGGATAAATAATTGAGCTCAGCGTTCAGTCTTCCTCAGTTTGGGATTGGGTGTGGCTGTAGCCTCACCCAGCAACCGAAAGCAAAGGAAAATTGCCAGCAAGAAGAACCACGGCAATTGTTGATCCTACTTTGCAACAATCCCTTTGGTGTGTGTGTGTGTGTGTGTGTGTAGGGGGGGAGGAAGTGTACATACAGTTCTCATAGGAAAGGTCTGCACTAAAACATTTGCCAGTCCTGTACAATCTGATACTTTAATCATAATTCTTCACATGGATTTAAATAGATGTTAATTTTGAAAATAGTTAAGTATCGCAGGCTCCAAGAAACTCTTGTTGCTACTTCCTTCAAAAGAAATATTTTAAATGAATTGAAGATTTCCAGATAAAGAAGAACATTGATTATTCAGATGCTGACCGAGTTTGCACATCATTCCATGCTCCAAACCATGGTTTCCAAATGAAATGATCCCACAATTCACGGAATTATATCAAATGGAAGCCAGTGTGCTATCTGAACCATAGCGCCTTACTTCTTTGTATGGACTATCTTTTACAATCATGGTTGATTGTTGATCATCTCCTGCAAAACAGGGGGCTGCAGCCACCAGGTGGACTCTCCAGTGACCTCTTTGGAAGTGCAGAAGTGTCCTCTTCCAAGCCACAGAAAATGACGTCTAACATATTTGCAGCGGCTGAAGAACCTATAAACTTCCCAAAGAGAACCAATCCCCCAGGTGAGAACCATACTCTTCTTGAAAATACTGAGAATGGGAGCGACAGGTTTGATAAGTTCATCCATGAAACCAGGTAACTATCATTTATCATTCAAAGAGCCGTGCTGGTGCAGTGTTTAGAACGCAATATTGCAGGCTGATTCTGCTCACTGCTAGGAGTTTGATCCTGAATGGCTCAAGGTTGTCTCAGCTTTCCATCCTTCCAAGGTGGGTTAAATGAGGACCCAGATTGTTGGGGGCAAGAGGCTGACTCTGTAAACTGCTTAGAGAGGTCTGCAAAGCACTATGAAGCGGTGTATAAGTGCTATGGCTATTTATTATTATCATGGTCACTGCTTTAAGCTACTTTTGACTAAATAATATTCAAACTTAACTATTTTATACAAATCATTCTGTACTCATCTGTGAGATTCCATTTGGATTATATAGTCCCAGCCATTGTCCTGCTTTCAACAGAACACCCGTCATTCACTACCTGACGTAATTTAGATTGCTGACAATTTCAGAGTTTAATACTCATAAAAAGAACAAGTTTATCACTATGCATGTGAAGTGTTTTGCAAGTTGACTGTGAGATTTTGAAACAAGTAAACAACTTGTTCTGTAACATCTTGTTCTTTTGTAACAACAGCTTGTTACAATGTTTAGACAACTCTGATCACATCCTTGGGAACTTGCATAAGGTAGAAGATTTTTTTTTAAAAAAATGCCTAAATGTTAATACTTTTGAGTTGTTGGTACATGTAGCAAGGAAGGAGTAAAGTCAAGATTGTAACCACAACCAGGTGGTCGAAGCTCCCACATTTTTTTATGTGCGGACACTCCTGGTTGCAATTATGATAGCTTCATTGGCAAATGGAATAAGATAGATTTACCTGGAGTGATTTGGCATTATATCTGTTTGACATGGCAGTCCCTTGCCTCTACATTAACTTTTTATTTGCCGCTTTCTACATCCTTCAAAGATTATTTGGAAGGAGAGAGTCCTTTTCCTCAGAGAATTTGTGCTTGTGCCTCTACGGAGGTAGAAATTCTTGCCTGCAGGTAGTCCTTGAGTTATGACCACACTTGAGCCCAAAATTTATGTTGCTAAGTGAAACACTTGTTGAGTTTTTCCCCATTTTACAACCCTTCTCGCCACAGTTGTTAAGTGAATCATTGCATTTATTAAGTTAGCAACGTGGTTGTTAAGTGAATCAGGCTCCCCCACATTGACTTTGCTTGTCAGAAGGTCGCAAAAAGGGATCCCGTGACCCCCCAGGACACTGCAGCTGTCATAAATACAAACCACTTGCCAAGCATCTGAATTTTGATCACTTGACAATGGGGATGCTGCAATGGTCCTAAGTGTGAAAAACAGTTATAAGTCACTTTTTTCAGTGCCTTTGTAACTTTGAACGGTCACTAAATGAACTGTTGTAAATTGAGGTCTTTCTAAGGGGGCCTTTTAGGGTATCTCAAGACATGCTTTCTCTTTATGTATGCAACTTATGAAATGTAATAGTTGTAATTTATTTATACAATTATTTCAGAAATTAAGGGTTAGGTACAGATATAGGTACATTACATTAATTTTTAAAGGATGTTAACATTTACATTCTAGATTGCAAAACACATTTATTGAGCCATAAGGTAAAGGTAAAGGTAAAGGTTCTCATTTCTGGCTCTAGGGGGCGGTGCTCATCTCTGTTACAAAGCCAAAGAGTCAGTGCTGTCCGAAGACGTCTCTGTGGTCATGTGGTCATGACTAAACACCGAAGGCGCACGGAGGAACGCTGTTCCCTTCCCACCAAAGTGGTCCCTATTTTTCTACTTGCATTTTTTACATGCTTTAGAACTGCTAGGTTGGCAGAAGCTGGGGCAAGTAACAGGAGCTCACTCTCTTACGTGGCGCTAGGGATTCAAACGGGCAAACTGCTGACCTTTCTGATTGACAAGCTCAGCGTCTTAGCCACTGAGGCATTGTGTCCCTCATACATTGGTGCAAATCTTTGGGTTAGACGTGTTATTTTTTACATGATCATTTCTTCAAGAAAGGGTTTTCTGTAACATTTTTTGGGGGTATTTGTAATGCTGGTCAAAGATTCACTGTGAGTTATATTGTGTTGGGGGGGGGGTGTTCACGAAGGGAGGCTCAGCCAATCTCATTGTACACATGTTGTACTCTGACAATAAAGGCTCGAACGTAATAAAGGGATATTAAGCAGAAAGGAAAATCAACAGGATCTCAGAAAGGAAACCTTTATCCAAAGCTGTGCAAGCATGTCTGGTTCCCGAAGGACCTCAACATCCTAGCCAGCCTTAGGGTTCACGGCTTGTTTCCTTCTGCCCTGGAGACTCAAGAGAGGAAGAGCAGTTCCTGTAAACTTCCTCACTTATTGTTGTCTTGCAGGTGGGAAGGACAGCGGCATTTTTGAGGATCATAAACCTAATGCATCCCGGCAATTTATAAACCCACCTGGAGGGAAAACACACAATATCTTTGGGACCTCATCACCTGTCAGCACAGTCAAAGCACATCCAAATAAGCCCAAGGTAACTCGCTTATAGCTTCCAATCACTTTCTTTTGTTTGTTTTTTTAAAAGAAGAAGGGGGGGGAGCCCAAATTATAATAATCAATGTAGGCAAAGTAGTTGTGTTTGTATAAAGGAAGCTGTTGAATACGCACTTCTTGAGTGACAAACTCAAGGGACTAATGCTGGCTTGATTGACCAAGCAATATAAATAATCTATTGTCAATTTAAATTGACTATAAGGGAAACATTTGGTGTTAATACAAAACAAAATCTCTGTAAAGATTTTTCTGTCTGATGCAGGACCCAGAGTTTGCATGTCTTTAGAAGCATTGCTTTGTAAAGCTGGATTGCCAGCCTGGTTTGTCTTACAGCTTGAAAGGATTCTCATGAAAAACGGTCTTTTGAAAGTGTTGGTTAATATCTAAAAACCTTTTTCTTCCTTCTTATCCAGGACCACACCTTTCTCTTGAATGATAGAGGAGATTCACCACGAGAAACAAAAGGTAATTAGAGCAAGGCCTCTCGAATTCGGTCAGTTCCATTATTTTATCCTTTATATCGTATCAGCTTTTGAAAATCACGGTATAGCTTTTAGTACTATATACTTTATAGCAGGGGTGTCCAACCTTGGCAGCTTTAAGATCTGCGGACTTCAACTTCCAGAATTCCCCAGCCAGCATAGGTTTTGCATACAATGTTCCCAAGCATGACTGGCTGGGGAATTCTGGGAGTTGAAGTCCACAACTCTTAAAGTTGCCAAGGTTGGCTCTTGAGAGAGAGAGAAATCCAATCTATTGGCCCTCTGAGAGGTTTCCCCTTATGATCCTAAAAATGGACCACATTTGACAGGCCATGCATCAAATGTTAAGAGTTTCAGACCATCCCCGCTTCTCTTCCCCCCCACCATTCTTTTAAGTGATTTTGATGTAAAGGGAAGCATTGCATAAGCTGAACTAGCTAACATCTCCTTCAGATGAAGTAGTAGAAGACTAACCGGGAGTAAGTAAGTTAATCAAACACTGCACCATGCGTGGGAACCTTGCATGCAAAACCCAAGCGTCGGCAGCACAGTTGGAATAAAACCAAGCAGAATGAACACTGTATTCTAACCTGCCACGTATCATCTTGCACAGTTCCAGAAGACCAAAGACCGCAGAGAGAAGAGTTGAGCGAGAAGAAGGACCTGCTGAAGGAGACCACCAAAGAACCTGGCCCCAAGATAGACAACCATGAACCCAGGCTGGGACCACGGCCGCGTTCTCACAACAAAGTCCTCAACCCCCCAGGAGGCAAATCTAGCATTGCATTCTATTAGGGAAGGCCACTTTCTCACCCCCACCCTTCCCCAATGTCTTAAGCTTTCATTCTCAGAACCAAAAGGCTAATTTTCTAGTGCTTGAAGGAGGGAGGCACTTAGTGGTTTGGCTTGTTAGTCCATAGCAGCAATCGGGCTTTGGGGGAGGGGGGTGTTTGTAAGACGGGGACGAGCCTCCTTCCTTCTCTCTGCATTCTGAACACAGTTAAGGAAGACTTCCGGAGATGGATTGCAGAACACATCCCATTTAAAGTGCAATACCAATTTTTGATCTGCCAGCTAGGCAACACAGCCTCAAGGAGATATTCTCTCTGCTTGTAAAGAAGGGAGGCTGCTGCAACCCCTGCCTCGGAAAAGAGAGTCGTCCCTTGATTGTCGTCTTGCAAAAAAAAAAAAGTGCAGGCGAATCATTTTTTGAGATAAGTTGTAGTTGAAATGAATCATGCACAAATCCCTTTTCTGAAAGAGTTTTAGAAGCTTTGGCTTTGTGGCACTCTTTTGACCAGTTGGCTATAACTTCATGATGAGTAGCACATTAAAACAAAAAAAATAGGTCTGTTGATAGAACGAAGCCAAACCGCTTCAGTTTAAAATTAGAGCCTGAACCCTCTCCAAGGAGGCAGTTCAGAAGCTAGTGACTAACTCTCTCCTTCATCACTAACCTCCCTGCACAAGCTATTGTGCCTGAAGATTTTAACTTGTATTGGGCAGCGAGCTGCTGTAGCTTTCAGAAAGGTTCTCATTCTAATTTTATGCTGACTCTTAGTCTGTTCTCCTTGTTGCTCTTTGGTTGCCTTTAGCGACTTCTCTCTCCCCTTAGCTAGGTCTTTCTATGCAGAGGCAGCCTCTGTTACCTTTAGCTACACGAGGTGGAGCTTAGACACTGGCTGTTTTGTTTTTCAAGTTCTTGGGCTCACCTCTTCCACTCCCTCTGCCAATAGGGGAAAAAAAGATCAGACTGGGGCCCACCAGTTCTTCTAGGGCAGGCAGTGACAAAAGAGGTGGGGCCAGAATTCTTCATCTTATATGTTTACCTATTTTATCTCTTCCTCAGCACCTCCTTCCCACCTATACCCACTTCAAACATTGCATAGTGCCAATTCATGTGGCCTCACAGATTCTGAACACCAGGGGTCTCCAACCTTGGCCACTTTAAGACTTGTGGGCTTCAACTCCCAGAATTCCTTACCCAGCCACGCTGCCTGGGGAATTCTGGGAGTTGGAAGTCCACAAGTCGTAAAGTTACCAAGGTTGGAAACCCCTGCTGAACTTTCTTGGAAGAATGTATGAAAGCTTTCTTTGAAAAAAAAAGTTTCTGTAAGAGGTCACTTATTCTATAGTTATTGGAAAGCGGAGCGCTTCCAGGTTTATCAACTGAACATTAACATCTCTGTGCCTTTTAACTTGCAAGTGAGTAAACATTGTTATATTGCTATAACCTTTAAACCAGGGGTCTTCAAACTTGACAGCTTTAACACTTGTGAACTTCAACTCCCAGAATTCCTCCTCCAGTCATGTTAGCTTAGGAATTCTGGGAGTTGAAGTCCACAAGTCTTAAATTTGCCAAGTTTGAAGACCCTTGCCTTAAACTGTGAATATCAACTTCCTGTGAATTTTTAACCCGATTCTTAGGATGACCTAAGGATGACCCTTGAGGTCTATTTCTAACAGCTTAATACCATTAGGAAAGGGTCAATCTTGGTTCTCACACGTACACCCATATATTCCATTGTTAAACAGGAAGCATTCAAAGACAACCCTTAATTGTAGAGAGTATGATGTCTGGATAACTGGAATGTCGTTTCTTTAGTTTGATTTATAAGTAATGCTCTTCTATCCCCAATCACAGCTATTCTGCCCTTACATTTCCTACAATCATATGGTCTCGTCCCTGTGGACATACCTTTAAGTATTATAAAACTGCCTATTTTTGTAATGTTTCAGTTATCTGTTTCACATTGGAACAAATATGAGTTGACCCACAATAAAGCAGCCCAGATCCATACTTAACACTCAAATAATCTTGTTCTATAATTCAAAGGAATGTTCAAAAGCAAGCAGTCGCCCTAGAATGGATTTGTTATTCGTGTTCACAAGCTATGGAAAAGATCAATCCCAAAATATATTCCAGCGTCCATTGTTTAATCCCCATTATGGGAAGGCAACATTAGAAAATAATGTTGAAAGTAGAAAATAAAATCAAGTATTCCTTGTTTCTCCTTCCTTATCAAACTCACCTGTTTGGCTGGGGTTTTTTCAACCTTTGTCCTACTGACTTGAGGTTTGCTTTTTTGCTGTGCAGATGCAGCTCAGGGTAACAAATCCCAAAGAGACATGGGCAAAATGGCAGCCAGTGGCTTATTCTGGAAGATTGACTGAGGTGTGCATTAAATGTAATACCTTGCTGGAGAGGACAGAAGCAAGAGGGAGTTGCAAATTAGTGAGATGACTGCCAAGGAAGGGAGGACTGAAGAAGCAGGATGGCTGCTTCTGAACATGTCTATTGAGAAACACTCTTTGGCAGAATTAGGAAGTTGGCTATGATGGTTATGCTGTACAGAATCAAGTGCAAATGTAATGTTACAGTCCTGGCATAGTATATTTAATGGTTAGCCAACATCTCCAGGCACAAGCTGGAAGTAGACTAATTTAGCTATAAGAGCTAGCTCAAGACCCTTACTAGTCTGTTGCTTTCAGGACGTTTGAAATATACAATGTTGGGTGGATGTCACCTTGCACCATTTCCCATAATTGCAGCACGAGTTTGTGAAGAGACAGAAGGGAAAAAGTCTGTGTTTCTGGATGAATTCTTTCTAGACTAGGGGTGTCCAACTTTGGCAATTTTAAGACTTCTTGTGGATTTTAACTCCCAGCTGGCTGGGGAATTCTGATAGTTGAAGTTCATGAATCTTAAAAAGTTGCCAATGTTGAACATCCCTGGTCTAGACTGTGTATGAGTAGTCCAAATGCCTCAATGTCAAATGATCAGACCATTGTGGTTTGCTTTTTTCAACTCCCTGAATTTTCTGTTGGAATTCATCAAGCATATCAGAAAACCAGTGGCCTTCGTAGAATAGCTCGATCCACCAGCGATAATCACAGGTTCATTGCAAAGTATTTCTGAGATGCTCTGTACTAGAAGCTAAAACAGTTCAGCATTTAAATAATGCTGGTTTAATATTTCTTGCCAAGTTCTCTCACATGGTTTGCTATACAGGTAATGCCACCCTTTCAATACCAGGGAGATGGGGGGAAAACAAATAGAATGCAAACACCACTTAGCTTTCTAATGAAACGAGCCACATGAGAACAATTGGGCAACATCAGCTTGGGATGCCATTTGCATGTCATTGCTACATGTGGATTACTCGGAATTGCACAATTTCAAAGGGGCGTTTTCACCAGTACTTCTCTGTTAGCCTTTTTTTCCTGCTAAGCCTTAAGTTATGATTGATTTAACTTGTGCCTATCATTTTTTTCGAGGGGTGGCTGAGGATTACACTGTGTATCCAGAAAGGGTATTTTCCTTTTTAAAAGCTACATTAGGAGTTAATAATAACTCAACTATGTTGAATTGTGCTGTTTAATAAACAACTGTATTTCACTAGTCCATTACAGTAGAGCTGATGGATTCTTCAAATCTTTTTTTAATCCCCTTATAGCCTCATGAGTTTTACATGTACAAACTAAGATAGTCTAAGCCCAAGGTGCCTCTCCTAAAAACCAGTTATTTCTTCCCAAGTGGCTGGTAATCCAGAGATTTTACTGTAACCAAACTAGCACACAGTATATTACATGAATTGTAAAGAATGAGATTGTTGGGGCAAAACAGAAGCAAGGTTTATAAAATTCCTTTTATTTATGCTAATAGCCATTGTGAGGTGGCACAATCATTAGCTATGCAACCTTGATATTCAACCTTGAACTGACTGTTAGTTTCCATAGGCAACCCACTCATTCCTAAGACTTTTGTGAACAGGTTAAGATGCAAGCAATTCCTTTTGTGAAGTTGACAATCTGTAGAGGAATGAGAAGAATTTCCTCAATTCTTCCTATCATAAATGCAAAAATGTTTTTGTTCTACTGAAATGCCTTTAAGTCTTTCTTTGTAATAGTGTTCAGGGAAATAATAATTAACTTGATTGAATCCATTCCTGTGCCATTGGTTCTCACATCAGCCAAGGCTGTCTGGTACATCTGCATTTTTAAAAAAATCAATCCCTTTGTAGCATTACCACTATCCCTTTTTCCCCACTCTGGTATCCAAATGTGAAGAGTGTTGCTATTAGACAAATCAAGCTGTGTCCATTGTTCTTTGTATCATTTGACAATAAAAAATATTAAGTTGGCAGTCTTGTTTTCATGCGAGTTGGGCTACACAGGCACTCTGAGAAAAGTTAGATAAGCTGTAACCCAATGGTTTGTCCAAAAGGAACTGCAAAAGTGGTCAGAGATCATTTCAGAGGAGTAGATGGGATGCTTGTAACAATGATTGGCTCTAATTTTGCAAAGAGGCCTCTTGTGAGTGACTCTGCTTGCTTCAGCAGCCGCGTCACAAAAATGTACCTATCGTACTTCCCATTCTAATCTTAGCATTCCAAGTGGCCTTCCCTTAGCAGAGTTGCAGGTCACTTTTCTTCTTCTAAAAATTGAGGTAGGAGATCAAGCCAAGTTTGGCATCTATTAAAATTCTTGTTCCTGTAGCAAAGATGCTTTTTCAAGAGGCAGTTGGACTTTGTTTTTCCTTGAAGACGTCTCGCTTCTTCAGTTCTTGAGAAGAACTGGATGAGAAGCGAAACGCCTTGAAGGGAAAAACCAAGAAAGTCCGGTTGCCTCTTGAAAAAACACCTTTGGGACAACCCATGACTTTGGATGACTGAGAGTCTCCATAGAGATCTTGTTCCTGTAACCCTTAACTGAATGCAGGACACAATGTTTTCAACCAAGGTGCCTTAAATGGGCTAATGTACAGAAAGTGTCCCAAATTCGATCACGGGATTGAAATTTGGCGAATGTTATAAAACATGTTACGACGTAAGAACTCTCACAAAACCATTTGTGACATAACACGAAATGTCAAATCATTTTCTGCATTGGTGTTTGTGCAACACAGTTCCACATGGGCTATTTTCAAGGCAGTTGCATCTCTGAATGTATCTTGCATTTGATTTTGAAGACATTCAGAAACCTGGTCGGGAAATATTTCGGAGATGTCCCTCTGAGTCATGGGTTGTCTAGTTGGGCTAAAAACGAGCTTGCAATTTGACCGGAAGATGATAGAAGGAAGAGGGTCAGGAATGCTGTTGTGTATTTTTACAGAAACCCATCCATTTATGTTCAGGGAGGCCTGTCTACAATCTTCCTGCAAAATAGTGTCTTTCCCAAATGCTGGACATTTTCCTACCAAGGGATGAATCCCATCAGTAATTGGCCACATATTGCTGGGGAGAGTTATTGGCATGGGCTTGTTATATTTTCTAATTGCAGTGCAACATCTGAAGTCTAAGGCCAGCTAACCACTTGAGGGACAGCAGTGCCAAAAGCTAACTCATAACTGGATCACGTTACCGCTGGCTCAAAGCATCAAATGCCTCTGGGATGGGTTTGGCCTATCCAGAGTGATTAACTCTGAAGTGAATATAGTTAACCGTGTTAATAGATTATCTTAACGGGCATTATGTTTCTACTTCTAGAGCAAAGTTAAATAGCCCTCTTGACAAATTACCAACTTGTATAGCCACAATTACTAGTAAGGATATTGTGCTGAAGAGATACAGAATAGTCAATATCCATTATGCAGTCAAATCAATAATCATTCATGTTAGCCTTTATATCCCGAAATAGTCAGGGTGGAGCTACTGGAACCCTTCTTCAGAAGAAGTCAAAGGAGAAATGGAAACTGGGAATGTACTATAATGCCCAAGTTCCTGAATATTAGGATTTTCAATACTGTCAATATATTTCAAAAAGAAGCCAATATAATTGAAACGGATGTGTGAGGAAGGCAAACCTTGATTTAAAACCTCATGATTTTGGAAAAGGAAAATTATGAAGGATTTTGATAATACTGCTGTGGTGGGTGCTACAAGGATGAAATCCATTATTAGCCTTTTAACAGCGCAAAAGGACCTTTTTAAAAAAAAAATGAGTGCAATGTTTGCATATACAATTGCTTGCACAGAGTAATTTACATTCCCACCTTTTCGTCCATTTAAGATCTGCAGAAAAAAAATTTCAATCTCTTCAGCAGAAAATTTCCCGCAATAAAGAAGACATCTTAATGACTAAACAACTCAAAATTGGCATTAAAGATCTCTGCACTCATGGCAGCTGCAGCATTATTGATAGTGTAAGATTTTCAGTTAACAGGTAGCACCTCGCAGCTACTTGGAAAGCAGCTATTCTTGTACACTGCATTTAGGCCCTGTTCTTTAAATTCCCTTATTAAACCGCCAAAGAAAGGAGAGAAAAAAGGAGGGTGCGTTGTTAGAATGAGGCTCTCTGGCTCATTTGTGTTGTACTCCCGTGTCCCGAAGGCCTCTTCTTTCAGTTGATAGACGGTTCTCCTTCCGCCTCATTGAGAAGGGGAGCAGTGTCAACAGATGGTTGGGCCACAGCCTCGGTTGGCGAGCGTTTGGTTGAGCGGTTCAACGTGCCACCCTGGGAAATTCATAGAATTTGGGAAAGTTTGGTGAAAGTTGAACCTTTATGGATGTAGTCCAGGGTAAACGGATTCCCCCCTTGTTTTTTTGTTTTTTTTTAAAATATACTTTATTGATTTTACAATTAAAATAGACCAACAACACACACATAAATGCAAGAGAGAAAAAGAAGACAAAGAGAAGGAAAAAAAAAGAATAGAAAGAAAAAGACAGATTCCCCGCTTGTTAATTGGACAAGATGGATTCTTACCTGCTTCTTATCTACTATGTTAAGGCAGACAGAGGTCCCAATGCAAGCGATGGTGTTGGCCAGCATGAAGATCATCATCTGTTGCCAGCGCCATAAGGGGATCTTCAGTTCACTGGGAAAAAGAATTTAAAAAAAACCAAAACATTATACTGTCCTGAAGAAGGGAGCAAGAGGAACAAGTCCAAGCATTTTACATCATATCGCATTAGTTCCATTAAGATACAGCAGGGGTGTCAAACACAAAGCCTGCGGGCTGAATCCAGCCCGCGATGTGGTCAGATCTGGCCTGCAGAGCCGTCCTGGAAAATGTAAGGAGCCGGCCAGCGTGACTTCGGCCCGGTCTACCCAATGTAAAGAGAGAAAACATGCCAGGAGTTTGGGGAGTGGCGTCCAGCTAGCCACGCCCACCCAGTTGGCCATGCCCAGTGAGTGGCATCAAACTGACCACGCCCACCCAGTCGGCTACCCCCCCCTCCCCCCGAGATCAACCACAGCCGTGATGCGGCCCTCAATGAAATTGAGTTTGACACCCCTGAGATATACAGATAGTCCTCGACTTACAATTCATTTAAAGTCACAACCGCACTGGAAGAAAAGGCGACTTATGACCGTTTTTCCACACTTAGGACCATGGCCCTCTCCCTGCAGTCACGTGACCAAAATGCAGATGCTCGGCAACTGATTCATATTTATGACGGTTGCCGTGTCCTGGAGTCACATGACCCCCTTTTGTGACCTTCTGACAAGCAATGTCAACAGGTTCACTTCCCAACAATGTGACTAACAACTGCAGCAACTCACTTAACGAATGGTGACAAGAAGGGCTGTAAAATGGGGCAAAGCTTACTTACCAAATGTCTCACTTAGCAATACAAACTTTGGGCTCAGCTTTGGTGGTAAATCAAGGACTACCTGTACTTGGTTATTCCATCATCAAGCAATCTATGGAAGCTGTTCGGAATGACAAGATGCTTTTTCTGGATTTGGAAGGCATAAAAGGTCTCGCTGGAGAGCAGAAAGGCATCTGTCGTTACCTGGATTTTGTTCCCAAAATCCGCCCCACGATCACATTCGAGAGGCCAATGCCGATCATTTGCACGGATGTCGCCAGCCCCATAGCTGTTCCCAATGTTGCTTGAGGAACCACCAGTGGAATTGAAGGCCACATGCTGGCCTGCACAAAAGACGGTTGAAAAGACAGACTGGAAAAACAGTGTGAGAGAAACCGCTTTTTCAAGGAAGAAAGAATCAAATTTCATAACAGCTTCCTCTCTGAGAAAACAATCAGATAAAGCAATGTTTCAACCTTAATAGCTTGAAGACGTGCAGACTTCAATTCCCAGAATTCCCTAGGCAGTCTGTACATGTTAAGATTCCTCAGGTTGAGAAATGCTGAGATTAAACTCTTAAAAAGAGTCCAGAATCAACAGGAGTTTTTATCAACAACTCCTAAATGATCACGAGATTCCCAAAACCTGTTTACTGATAATCACAATGGGATGCCACGGATTAGGCTGTTTAGATGGACCCATTTTCTTCCCAAGGCACAGGAGCCAACTCATTTCTCAGGGGCGCTTAACCTGTCAGACACTTAAATTTGGATTCCTGCAACGAGCAGAAATTAGACTCTATGTGCTCCCTGACCTCTGATTCTAAAACTGTTGAAGCCAGCAGTAGAATGTGAAACTCAGCAAAATCAAAATCCCACTTAAATTGGCTTGCCAGATAATTCTTCTGCTATGACTCTCTCCTCGCCTCCTTCTAACCTTTCTCTTTCGAAAGAACAACCCAGCAACATGTGACAAAGTTAGGTTCCCCAGAAACTTCCCCATGGCTTAAAGTGGAAATCATGAGAGCATCAATGCATGACAGTTCTGAAAACTTACAGCTGCAAAGGAGTAGGTGATTCCTAACCAGATGGTGGAGACTAGTGGGGGAACGAATGTGAAGGCCAAGAGAGCAAATACGGGCAACGTTAGCACCGCACAAGCAGCAGCAAACACCCCCCTCAGCCCAATATAATCCTGGAAAAAAGCAGAAAAAGAGAAACGAGAGCCAGTTTGGTGGAAGCTCAAGGCATCAAGCTAGAAACTGGGCGAACGTGAGTTCTAGTCTCGCCTTAGGCACAAAGCAACTGGGTGACTTTGGACCAATCACTCCCCCTCAGCTCTAGGAAGAAGTCAAGGATCAACCATTTCTGAAATCTTGCCAAGGAAGCCGCAGTCACTAAGAGCCAACACTGACCTGAAAATATGCATACAGACAAATTTCATAGCGTAATATCAATGCATCCAGCTTACTGGGAATTCTAGCTTTAAAAAGGTAATTCACATTTTGTTAGAACAATTAATCAGTGGAACCACTTGCCTCCAGAAGTTGTAAATGTTCCAACACTGGAAGCTTTTAAGAAGAAATTGGACAACCATTTGTCTGAAGTGGTGTAGGGTTCCCTGCCTAAGCAGGGGGTTGGACTAGAAGACCTCCAAGGTCCCTTCCAACTCTGTTATTCTATTTTATTTTTCAAAGCCACAAACTGCTCCCACACCCTCCACCCCCCCAAAAAGAAGCTACCATCTAAAAGGAGAGCCTCAAGGAATAAATTATACCATTCCCCAAATATTTTTTTCAGTGATTTGATGATTTGGAGGTTAATTACTTTGAGGCTAACGGGGGGGGGGGGGGGGGGACAGTTGCTTTTGTCCGTGTCATGCTCTCATTTTGGAACAGGGCCGCTAGCAGAAACTCAATGCAGCCTTCAACCCAGAAAAAGTTGCACGCCTTGTTGTGTTGTTGTATATTCTTTTCAGGCTTCGTTCCCATTTGCACAATCTTATGGATTGTCTCCCCTCGCTCTACCTACGCAAACCCAGGCAGATGCCCCATCATGGATCTGCCCCATTTCTACCCTCGAGTCTTAAAAAATCATCCTTCGAAACTTACGATCAGTATGCCAACAGCCGCCGAGAGAAGGAGAGAGCTGTCGTAAACCGCTCCAGCTATATAAGCAGCTGCCTGTTGAGTGTAGCCAGGATACTTATCTTGGATGAACTTACTAGAAAAAGAGAAATGAAAATGGGACAGGAGAAAGAGAAACCCATTTGGACTCCCAAATCAGATGATTTTGAGACTGACTGTGGAGACGGAAAAAACATCCTTGTACAAACAAGTCAACTCTTCTACATTAATCGTTTAGTGTTTTTAATAACCTTTGGTGACATCTTTCTTACGAGCGCCTGTAGGCCAGACAAGGAAGAATGGATGGAAGACAAATTCAACCTGGAAATAAGGAGAAATTAACTGACAGTGAGAAACAATCAACCCATGGAACAGAAGTTGCCCTCGGAAGTTGTGGGAGCGCCATCACTTGAGACCTTCAAGAAGAGACTGGACTGCCATCTGTCAGAAATGGTGTAGGGTCTCCCGCTTGGGTGGGGGGTTGGACCGGATGACCTACAAGGTCCCTTCCAACTCTGATTATCTGACATGGTTTAGTTCTAAGATTCTGCCTTGGCAAGTGAAGCCAGTCTAGAAGACAATTTTCCAAGCAACGTTGAGAATCTCGATGCCTCTCATACGAGCTAAGGTTTGATGGCAGAACACAACTAATGTGGCATTTTCACTGTGAGTCTAGAGAAATTTCCCAACCTGATCCTAGTCCTTGCTTCCAAACTTACCTATTCATCCAAAGGCAACACTAGCTTGATGATTAATTATTTGCCGAGTATTCAATAATTATTTTTCAAGTGCCACATTTTTCACACAGTGCTGGAAAGGACCATTCTATGACCAATCCTTGCTTGGTCTTAAACTAAGTATAGAAAATCTTCACCAAGTGATTCCTGGCTTCTAACTTAACATCCACACAAACCCAAATGCAAGACTTAGGGATTCCGCGTTGTCCTTGGTTAACATCTAGTCTCATCTTTCCTATTTCTCCCCCCGCGTCCCCAATCAATATTTCTGTTTTGCTGATGTAAAAGAATCAAGCAGGAGACTTGCCAAGATCGCACAAATTTGAAAGAGTTAAGGAAAGCATCCCCAAGACAGATACAGATAATCAGAGTTGGAAGGGATCTTATAGGTCATCTAGTCCAACCCCCCACCCAAGCGGGAGACCCTACACCATTTCTGACAAATGGCAGTCCAATCTCTTCTTGAAAGCTTCCAGGGATGAAGCTCCCACAACTTCTGAAGGCAACTTATGTTCCATTGGTTGATTATTATCACTGTCAGAAAGTTTCTCCTTATTTCCAGGTTAAATCTCTCCTTGTTCAGTTTCCATCCATCTTTCCTTGTCTGGCCTTCAGGTGTTTTGGAAAATAGCTTAATCCCTTTCTCCTCTCTGTGGCAGCCCCTCAAATATTGGAAGACTGCTAATCCTGTCTCCCTTGGTCATTCTCTTCACTAGACTAGCCAAGCCCAGTTCCTGTAACTGTTCTTCATATGCCTTAGTCTCCAGTCCCCTAATCATCTTGGTTGCTCTTCTCTGCACTTTTTCTAGAGTCTCAACATCTTTTTTATGATGTGGTGACCAAAACTGGATGCAGTACTCTAGGTGTGGCCTTACTATCAGCTCCTTCTTCAGAAGAAGCTGCAACAATGGACAGAAAAGCTACTGCTAGCATTTTTGGATCCAAGGATTGCACTGGAAGTTGGTTTGTGGAAGCTTTGTAGGGTGGGGCTCCCCAGAATCCACGCCCTCCAGAGTCAGACCCTGTTCTTTTCTCTCCAGATCTATTCTCATTAGTTCCTTCGACTGACCTTTACTTAAAATTCATGTCACCAGACTTGAATCCAGCAGCATTAAAGCATGCATTGAAATGATTTGTTGCTCAAGAACATCTCGGAAATCCAAGCAATCACAGCCACTGATCGCTTCTTATTGCAATCTGGGGGGAAATCATAGCTTGACCAAGTTAGTTCTGCTTTATAAAGAGCAGTGATGGCAAAATGGTTAGAATGCAGTATCGCAGGCTAATTCTGCCATCTGCCAGCAATTTAATTCTAACCAACTCAAGGTTGACTCAGCCTTCTATCCTTCTGAGGCCAGTAAAATGAGGACCCAGATTTTTGGGGCAAATATGCTGGGAACAGCAAATATGCTCGGCATAGCAATATCTACAAGAGACTGACGGATCTCTGAAGATCTCTAGACCTGGAGAACTCATCCTCTTTAAGGAAATTTAATTGCTCTTCCTGATAACGTACTTTTCCACCTGTTTGTCAATCAAAATTCCCTATCTCCCTCACAGAGGGACTCTTGTTTTAGCTTCATTCCATTGATTCGTGTCCTGTAAGGCGTAGCACAAAATCTTCTTGCACTTAACCGATTCACTGGGGATGCCATGGGATTCGCTCCCTTCTTGCCAAGCCTCTATTCCCACGTTGCAAAATGAAAATGTTTACCTTGCATCGGCCACAAAAGGGAAGATCCCATTGTAGAAGAACATTATAGTAAGGACCAAAAGCCAGTAGCGAAGGGGTAAGTGTCGGATATCTTGAACTTTCTGGAAGTTAAAAATAAACCGCACGTTAATTCCCTACAACCACAGCTCTGAGGATTAGTCTCTCTAAAGGCAGCTTTTTCTAGCCCAGTGATTCTCAAGCTTTTCTTCACCATGAACCCCCTTGAAGTGCCTTTTGTGGCCACAGACCCCCAAGATTTAAATAGTCACATTTCTTCAAGCCTTCATGGACCCTCTGTGATAATATCGCCCACCCACCCAGGAATCTGCGGACCACAGGTTAAGAACCCCTGCTCTAACCTATTGGACAACAGGCATTCTTGAATTTCAATTCCCAACATTTCTGATATGCTAGTTGGATAGGCTGAGGGTTGCAATCCAACTCAGCTGGAGAAGATGGCTTGGATCAGTACTTCACCAAGGCTCCCTCCCACCCTGGTTCTGCTTAGAGACGAAAATAAATAAATAAGGATGCATCATTCTGAATTCCAGGCTATTTTATATGTTTCATACAACAGAAGAACAGGGGGAACCAAAGACTCATTTTCCATCATGCCTTCCTGCTAAAATTCGTTCGTTTTCACGTTTCGCATTTACATATACCAGAGACTAAGATGCAATAAGCTGAGGGAGGCCGAAGCTTTTCCACTACAGATTGCAACACTTGAATTACAATTCGCAAGATCAACGTCCTATCCACCACAGGCAAATCGACCAGCAAAGCAAGCAAGAGGGAAACCAGATCTGCAGATTAATTCTGTGCTTTAAACGTGGTTCATTTGGTTTTGGTTCAGAGCAATCTTTAAGGCCAGACAACTAGCTTTTACTCCACAAACCATAAACAACGGCCTCAGCAGAATGTACGAGCTGAGTCAGAAGGCAAAGCCAATAAGTTTTCTGCCTAGGCAGGGGGTTGGACTAGAAGACCTCCAAGGTCCCTTCCAACTCTGTTATTCTATTCTAAGTATTCAGAATCCAAAGCCATTCAGAAAACCCCCGTCCTCTCTCCTTTCAAGAGATAGGAAAACTGTCAGTTTCTCTGGACCGCCAGGGTCATGAATGACTCACATCCAAAAGACAATTTAAAAAAAAAGAGAAGTTGCCGTCCTGCCTACCACTTTCTTGGACTCTTGTTGGAGAACTCCATCCAAGCCGAGCTGCTTCGTGCCCACTTTATCCAACACGCTAACGATGATGGCGGAAATAAAACCCAGCACGCATAACAAAGCTCCTGTGAACAGAGGAGAACCGACGGTCAGAACCTCCATCAACGGTGCACCTTATGGTTGGCACGAAACCTTTTCGGTCTGGTAACCTTTGTATTCAAAGCATCAAAGTATTACTCCAGCATAGATCTCGCCTTGAGAAGTAGCTGCATTATGTTATTCGTTGATTTACCTTCGGGAGAGGTTTTGATGGGGCATTCTAGGCATCTTCTCCCTATCATCATCATCATCATCTTCTAACAACCCCATAATCCCTTGCGGGGTGGAGTCTGGGCAACTGAATGGAGCTAGAAGAGTGTTACTGGCCGGATGCCCTTCCTGTCGCCAATGCGGAGTTTTGTTCAGCAGTTATGTATTGATTGTGCCCAGCTTGCCTCCTTAAATCCTCTACCTAGGATCGAACTCACAGCCTCCTGATTGTGAGGCAAGAGCTCCACCTCTAGGCCACTGCACCATGCCTAGGCATCTTCTCCCTATCTAGTACAGGTAATCCTCGACTTACAACAGTTCGTTTAATGACTGTTCGAAGTTAAAGGCACTGGAGAAAGTGATTTATGACTGTTTTTCACACAACCATTGCAGCATTCCCCGTGGTCATGTGATCAAAATTCAGATGCTTGGCAACTAACTCCTATTTATGACAGTTGTGCTGTTCCAGGGTCATATGTGACCCCTTGACATATTTATGATGGTCGCAATGCCCTGGGGTCACGTGATCCCTTTTGTGACCTTCTGACAAGCCAAGTCAACGGGGGAAACTTCACAAACGTGTGACTCACTTAACAACTGCAGTGATTCCCTTAACAACCGTGGCAAGAAAGGTCTCAAAACAGGGTGCAGAATTCACTTAACCCAATGTCTCACTCTGCAACAGAAAATTGGGGCTCCCTCGCAATTGTAAGCCAGCTGTCAGGGTTCCGGCGATTGCCCTAATTAAATCATGAGCCTCGAGCCAAGCTTCAAAAGAATCCAAAAGATTTCTTAGGAGCAACATGTCGGCGTTGACTCGTACGAAGCCAACTCTGCCTGTACCTTCTAGATGCGGTTGGGGATTGTGATGACCCAGGGCGTGGCACAAAAGCAACAAAGTCACAAAAGTAGGTAAAGTCCCTTTAATTCCTCCAACTTGGCCCCCAATGTCCAGTTATCATCGGCTGGAGAGAAAACTCTTCCAAGAGCAGTTTTTTAAAGAGAAGAAATTTAGTTCGACCCGAAAGTACATATAAATTATAAATAAAAACCAACAAAAACTACACTGCAGCAATTAATGAGACGGGGCAGGATAAGGAATTGCAGAATTCAAAAGATAACGAAACACACACGGTTGGGAGGATGTCAGGACCCAGATAGGACTTGACAAACAAAGATAATGCACGCTTTACTTCCAGTGAGGAGCTGTGCGCAAACACCTTCTTTATCCTGTTTTCCCAGCTGCAGATAATGAAGGGAATCAGGGCCCTTTTCTCCCCCCGTAACCCACATTGCTCCCTTCTCAGTTCCTCCCTGCGTGCCCTAGGAGGCAGAGGGGTGGCCCTGGGTCTTCCTTTGAAGGCCCAGCCGGACTGTTCCCTTCCCCAGTTTCTTCCACAGCCACCGGAGCCACACTCCCACTCCCTGTCAGCTGCTCAATCTCCTCCTCAGAATCGGACTCCAACAAGGGCATGACAGGGATTGTGAGGAGTTCCAGCACATCAGAGAATATCGAGCTGGGCCCACGCGGCGTAATCTAGAGATCAAAAGAGACTCACCTCCCCAGAGGGTCCACTGGATTCCAAAATGGCTTTCAAACTGCTGGGTGAAAAAGAAGTTGAGGACGCTGCCGAGACGGGAGAAAGAGAGAGTCAGCCCGAAGGCAAGCGCCAGCTCCTTCCCCTTGAACCAAAAGGCGGTGATGCGGTTCTGCACAACTCAAAAAGCAGAAGAGAGATCAGTGTCACTAAGCAGGCCGTCATGTAAAGTCTCGAGATAGAGCAATGCAGAGAAGGGCATATTTTTTTTCTGAATTTTATGGAACCTGTGCCTCCATTTAAGGAGGCAAGGAGGACACTTGAAGCATAAACTAGAAAAGAAGGAAAAGGAGAGGAGGAAAGGAAAGGAAGAGAAAGAGAAAAAGAAAGGAAAAAAGAGAAAAAGAAAGGGAAAGAGAAAGAAAAAAGAAAAAGTTAAATATTATGAAGAAAGAATGTGCAGCCCCTCCCAAAAAAACCATGTTAGTCCATTTTAATAAGAGTCCACTGGGATCTGGCCGCCTAGAATTCATTGGATTTATTGAGTGCATTGGTGTGGGTGTCCAATAAATAAGTGTTGAAAATGTCTTTCGAAATGCTCATCCTTTCTGTTTTGAATCAACAATCCCCCTCCTCCGATGCAGCATTAACATCCACAGATTTAAACCAGATTCCCCATCTTTCCTGGAATGGAAGGTCTTGGTGAACTACCTACCTGAGCATAGCGATGGTATCTCTCTAGGGTTCATAATCAAGCTGCTATTTGTATAAAAATGCCCTCTCGTACACCTTTGCCTGATATCAGGATTATCTTTTCCGATGTAGTCTGAACTTGTTTTTTTACATCTGGAGTGGCGGAGTAACTACACTGCTCTTCTCCCTGCATTTAATGCACAATTTCTACTTTCTATTATGATGTTCTTTATTTGCTTCTGTATTTGCCAAGAAGTTCACTTAGCCTTAGACTGAAGACTTTGTAAGAGCCTCTTATCTGAGTGCTACCACTGAATGAGAATAGTGGTTTTTTTTGGCATCATTATCATTATTATTTCATCTCCCCCAATCCTCATTTCTTAATTTATTTTCCCAGAATTGGACGAGAAAGCAATTGTTTAGAGAGCTCAACTGATACTGCTTTTATATTGCATTCTCTGCTATATTATTTCTGCGTGTGGCAAGGTGTTTAAATACTGCTATTTTAATCGTCTGTACTAAAGAAGCTATACATTTCATTTATAAATTAAAACAAGCCCACTCCATTTTTCCACTGAAAAAAGCCATGATTTTGGAGATAAAAGCAATCATTCATAAGCTTCCACTCCCATATAAGACTAAAGTTCTTTTTAATCCCTTTTCAATACAGCTTAGAGGAAAGCTCATTTGTGTTTGCAAAAGTCTGCTAATTTTTTTAAGTAAGTTAATTCTTTCAATAATTAACTAGATAAGGATGGGTTCAGATGTCATCCTAAGCTCTGATTTGTTTATCTCATTTGTGGGTTTGATAAACTTAAAAAAAAGAGGAAGGGGCTTTAGTAAGAGAGATGAATTTCTCTTGACTCAAATCAGGATTCCTGTTGTATGTATCAAGGATCAAATCAAAGAAAGCAACTATGGCTATGCCTTGCTTACCAAAGATAAAGAGTGGAAAGAAGTTTAGACATTCAAAGCTTTGTCTGAGTTCCTAGAACCTTGTCAGCAAAGTCCAGATTTAACCACGTCGACACAATGCCCTCTTCCCTTCTATGGAGAGAATGCCGCTCGTTCCTTACTTGTAAGCGATCCATTTCCAGAACCAAAAAGCAGTCTGCCCGTTAGCATCAGAGGCAAAAGGTACGGAGTCCCTTTTAGGTGGGAACCCAGTGCAAAAATGGATGATCCCAAGACAGTCAAGAACGAGAAAACAAAGACACCAACTATAGAGAGAAGGAGAGAAAAAAAAAGTATAAAAAAAAATTATACAGGCAAAACACGTGGCTTTTATAACAGCCACATGAATAGACGAGACAAGATCCAGATTTGTAAACTCTTTAATCGCTTCTGATCACAGATACTTACAAGGCATGCCACTACAGTTTCCAGTTGCAGCTACAGAAAATCCTCAACTTTCAACCTATTGCTAAACAAGGTGGTTGTTAAGTGAGGTATGCCCCATTTGACCCTTTTTTTGCCATAGTTGTTAAACGAATCACTGTGGTTGCTAAATAAATCATGTGGTTGTTAAGCAAATCCAATTTCTCTCTCTGACTTTGCTAGGAAGGTCACGAAGGGTGATCCCATTACCTCAGGATGCTATAACCATCGTAAACAGGTGCAGGTGTGTCAAGCACCCCAATTTTGATCATGTGACCACGGGACTGCTGGGATTATCATAAGAACAAGCCACTTAAGTCACTTTTTTAGTGCCACTTTAATTTGAAATGGTCACTAAATGAATGGTTGTAAGTCAAGGGCTACTGTAACAAACAGGGTATTTCATTCCTATCTCTCGTAAGAAAGATCATACATTTTCTGTTAAGCTTGTAGGAAATAACATGAAGAGACTGTTCAAAATTCTGCAGTGCAAAATACATAAATACATTACAGCATCCTCATAGAGTGGTACAGTGGCCTAAAGGTTGAGCTCTCACCTCACAATCAGAAGGCTGTGAGTTCAATCCTAGATAGAGGCAGATATTTCTCTTTCTGGGCACAATGAGAATATATCTGCTGAACAAAACTCCGCATTGGCAACAGGAAGGGCATCCGGCCGGTAAACACTCAACGCCATTCAGTTGCCCAGACTCCGCCCCGGGAGGGATTATGGGTTGTTAAAAGGAGATGATGAAGATGATTATAGTATCCTCATGCTTTCCAAGAAATATGCTCTGTGAAGACCTGGTTTTTAAAATGTTTGAAAAATCCTGGAAGGGCTAACCAAAGATAACTCAATTTCCCTGACAGTCTTACATCTTTTTACTCTTAAGAAAAGCAATCAAATCCAAGGCTGAATTTAAAAGAATCACATTAACGTCTGCCAACAGGTTTTAAACTCTGCGTTTTTTCAGCCGTCTTATAGAAGTAACCAAAATTAAGGGTACGGTCTGAGATCACACAGCCCGCCAACTTCTAACGCCAGTGTTGTTATGAGGGGTCCTTGGTGATCTCTTGAGTTTGGTTGTTTTCTTGCAGGCCATTTTATTACCCAAATTAGGTAACATCATCAGTGCTAGTCTTGTTAAAAGAACAGAATGGAAATCATTGGTCAACTCAGAACTGGTTTTCTTTTATTCTCGGGGTAGAAACGAGGAGGTGGAATTTTAAATATCCGAAACAAAGCTTCATTTTCAAAAATGCATCCCTAACCATAACTGAGTTCCTTTATACATTTAGAGCATTCAAAGCCACTGTACCCAGACAGACGTGGCTAAAGCGAGGCCTTCTATTTCACATTTAAAAGCTCCTTGTGAAACAGAGATAAATGCCAATAACCTTCCAGGAAAGGCAACTCTTCATAATGTATTAACAGAGCAGAAAAGGTCTTCTTCAGCCAGCTGGATTCGAGAAGACAAAGGAACATACAGAACAGCGTCCCCACCCCCCAAATGATCTCAGAGAGAGAGGGCAGGCCAGTGGCAAAGAAAACAACAGCACAGTCACCCGGGTTGAGACGGGCAGGCATACAGAAATTAAATAAACATTTCAGCTCCTCCAAACTTACAGCGGTTTCCAAGTTTGTCAATCAGGAAGCCAGCCACAATCACCACCAGTGCATTACTAAGGAGAACAAAAAAGAAACAGATCACAAGAAGGTGGAGATAAATAGCATTGTGTGTGTCTGTGTGTCTTGAGTGAGAGAGACAGACAGACAGACAGACCAGACTCACTCACGTCCAGGCATAGATGGCATACAGAAGATTGTATTCTTCAGGAGTCATTCCAAGCCCTTCCACACAATCAGTTGTTGCATTATGTTCTGTGCCGTTGTGTTGAGTTCCATTGGGGCAGGTTAGATTCTGGAGGACAAATCAGAATGAAAACAAAATTATCAATATCAGAAATTACAAGTGAGCCAAGTTGAAATGCATCCTGGTTTAGGGAGGCCCACCTGCATATTCGTTCCAGATAATTAGAGAATTCCATCTACTGACTAAAGCACAAGATAGTTTTGGTTGTTAGGATCTACTCATATGTATCGAAGGAGTGCACTATGCAGCTATTGCGGTCTTCTGATCAAGTTTTATGGCTTAGTGTGATTCAACAACCCCGTCAATTATCAATAAAGCATAGTTTAAAAACCACAGCTTAGTACAATGTATGAAACCGGTATGTAGCAATATCTAAAAATTCTTAAGCAGGACCTGGGTCTTACACATGGAAAACAAATGAAGTTGCTACATCAGCTATCAAATATGTGGCTTGGCATTTCCACGGTGCAGCGTTTCTTGAATTCCTACATATACCTTTGGTAACTCAGGTATGGAAACAGCTGATATTCGTTTTATGTCAACCTCTGCAGCTTCGGAAAGACTTGAATTGAAAAGGCTTGGAAACTTTGCACCTCTGGTCTCTTTGCTCCATGGCTGAAATCAAGCTGACTTCTAACAGGGTCGGAGAGAAAGGGGGGGAAAACACTCACCCCTTGAAACTGTTCTTGCAAGACACTGGGAATGTCAAAACAGAAGTAGGAGCCAAAGGTCAAGAGACAGTTGAAGAAAAGCACAAGGAATCTGTAATAAGCTGCAAAGGGAAATAAAAGTGTTAGAATGGTAGAAAATAGCTCTGCAAATTCTGTATTTAAAAAAAACAAAACATGGTAATTTCCCCAAGATTTTGATTTCCCGTGGCACCAAGCATCTGAACGACGGATATAATGCCCAGACATTGCACTACTAGTTTGCACACACGCACGCACACATTGTGGTTCTGGTTTCTTTTACTTCCCGAAGACTGGAATGTAGTACACCCAGGCCCACTTTTTCATGTTAAGGGACCAGCAAAAACCACAAGGAGGCGCTTTATATTATGGAATACAGTTGCAAGATAATTTGGAAGGCATTTAATTGCAAATATTTGTTCTGTATTTTTTTTTTCTCCTTAGCTACAGCTAATCCTTGATTTAGGTCCATTCGTTTAGTGACTATTGGAAGTTGCAACGGCACTGGAAAAAAAAGTGACTTATGATTGGTCCTTGCACTTATGACCCATTGCAGCATCCCAGTCACAGGATCAAAATTTGGGCCCTAGGCAACTGGCATGTACTGATGACAGTTGCAGCATCCCAGGGTCATGTGACTGGGATATATAGCCTTCCCGGCCTGCTTCTGATGAGCAAAATCAACAGGGAAAGCTGGATGATTCAGTTAATCGTTGCAGGGTTTCACTTTAACAACCGTGGCAGAAAAGGTTGAATAATTGGACGCCACTCACTTAACATCATTTAGCAACGGAAATTCTGGTCCCAATTGCAATCTGTTGAGGAGCACCTGTACTTTCATGTATACCATTCTTCATTGTTCCATAAAAACATTCAAATAAACAAACCAAATCTTGCATTCCAGCTGACACCCAACCTGAGATTTTAATCACTGGGACCTGCCGGGTGCAAAAGGCCCAAATACCCCCAGCCCATGCCAAATCCAGCCCCAAAGATCCCCTAATCCCATATCCTGTTCACTTGATTAGATTAACCGAGTTGGAAGGGACCTTGTAGGTCATCTAGCCCAACCCCCCCCCACACCATTTCTAACCAATGTCCAATCTCTTCCTGAAAGCAGGATGCTCACAACTTCCGAAGCTGTGCCGCTGTTGCCTTCCAAATGTTCTCATCCAAGGACCTGTTCTTCTTTCTGATCCTGCCCTTTTTGCCTTTTTTTGTCTTTGTGTTTTAACGGTTTTAATACCTTTTATATTTGTAATTTTAATTGCAAGGGTTGCTTTTTCGCAGCCGCACGCTCAACAGGCATGCTGGAGTTAACATTTCAGCCAGTCCTGTAGTTCAGCAGGGTCTCCAACCTTGGCAACTTCAAGACTTGTGGACTTCAACTCCCAGAATTACTCCTCCAGTCATGTTAGCTCAGGAATTCTGGGAGTTGAAGTCCACGAGTCTTAAACTTGCCAAGACTGGACGAGACCCCTGCTGTAGTTGACCCCTGGCCGCCTCTTTGGGGGATCCGCTCCAGGGAGATTTCCACCATCCCTTCTCCTACTCCCCCCCACCCGGCCCAGGATCGGAGTAACCGGGCCTCCTCCAGCCCCTGCCCACGTACCCCGAGGAAATCACGTGCAGAATCCTCACGGGGTGCGAGATCTGGGGCAGGTCTGTGCATCAGACCAGGTCCTCAATGCAAAAAAAAAAAAAAAAGGAGGGGGCCTCTGAGCATACGCAGAGCGCCCCGGGACAGCCGGTTCCCCGCTGCATCGGAGTTCGGGGTCCGTTCGGGTGATTAACGTGCTCCGGGGCTCACCTTTCTCGGCCGCCGCTTCCGCCATCGCTCCGATTCCCTGCTGGCTGACTCCGTTTCTCCCGAGGCAGCACTGGCGCCGCCCCCAGGCCCGCCCACCATTCCTGGGCTAGAGGCCCCGCCCCTTTCCCCCCATCAGCCGCGCTCTGGGACCCGCATTTCGCTCCGCCTACTACCCCCCGACCGGGGCTCCTGCGAAAACTCCGCCCTTCTGTCTCGTGACGTGAACTCCGCCCTCCTTCCCCTCCCCTTTCCCGCATTTGTAACGCCTCCTCCGCCCCTGAAGTTGACACCCTTTGGATGCTGGAGGCTCCTCTGCTCCGCCCCTCAGCGTGAAGCTCCGCCCCCCTTCGAGTGGGCCGTTCCCGCCTTTTCTTGAGGAGGCGCATTTGTCTCTCGTTAGGTGAGGGAGATGGATGTCTGAATGTGGAAGGTGTCTCGCTTTTCCAGCGTCCTTTATATTTAGAAAACGTCCCAGAAATAAATATTACATTTGGTCGTTTATTATTACAGTACAAAACCAATCATAAAAATTATCGGTTTTAATTTAAAATGTGCCCCAGGTCTATTTTTTGCAAGCCTTCTAACAGGTGCTTCTAAACTCCTTTCTAAAAAGACTTTTAAAGGACATTTTTCCCCCTTCAGTGTCTTGCACCAGTAGAAAAAATATCAAGCAGTGTGTTTTAACAGACAAATTGTACCACTGGGTTCTAAACTCTTATTTTCAGAAAGGAAATCAAATTTTAAGTAAGTTTTTTTAAGGATGTATTGAGCCAATGCAGTAACTTTTAAATGTATCTTTCCAAGAAAGCTCAACCAATCACATACTTTCTAAACAAGTTGTCATGTTGCCAGAATGGATAGTGAGATGGGCTGGGTATAAATTTAACAAATTATATTTTCACTTGATATTAATTTGAAAACATTTTTCCTGATTATATTTTTCAAAATATCCATGAATTACTTTCTCTTTGGTCTAAAGGCCAACATCAAAGTCAAATGCATTTGAATAAAGTATTGGGTATTTCCATTATGCTACCCATGTGGGAAAGAAAAACGAAAGAAGAGAAATGAAATGGAAATGAAAACTAGAAAATAAAAATGAAGACTGGAGGCAGAAAAAATGAAAAGAAAAAGAAGGAAGGAAAAGAAACTCTTCCAATCGCAATAAACCAGGCTTATTAGGGAAGCAGATGATGGCATCTAGTTGACTTCAGAAGCCATTAAGACCAATTTGTGGTTAATGCTTCAAATGAAGAACAACTCAGCACAGTAAACAAATAAAACAAACAAAGCAACAACATGGACAAAGCAATGCAAAATCATGTCCATATTGTAGGGAAGCCAGAATGGAAATGTACATGAAGTCATCTGTTCTCGAATTGAGAGTATCCAAAGCTTTACCTGCTTTGTTCAGTATATCAGGATAAAAGTCTTATTGATGCTTTTGGATTTTGTAGTTGGAGAAGACCATGGAGAGCCAAGAAAACAAACAAATGGATCAACAGACTGGTCAACCTTCAGTCCTTACTCAAAGAACAAATAACCAGGCTCAGGTTACGTATTGTAGTTTGGACATCTTCTCTAAACACCTACTCTTTGTAGAAGTATATAATACCTGGGAAGATAGAAGGAAAGGGAAGAAGAAGACAACCATCAGCAAGGTAAATTTGCACAATTAAATTGGTGATAGGTGCACCATTGAAAAACCAGTAGGACCAAGTCTGGGACAGATGATCCTTGAGAAAATCCATCTGTGTGGTTGGTAAGAGGTGCCATCAACTTGATATCTTATAATTCATTAAACTGTTTTGTAGAGTTTGCTTACACAGAGAGAGAGAGAGAGAGAATTGCAGCCCAAGGTCTATTTCTAAAGTAGTATATATTTTGCATGTTGTTTTGAGTATGGATAATCCTCGACTTATGACTGTTTTTCACACTTAACAACCATTGTAGCATCCCCATGATCATGTGATGAAACTTCAGGCGCTTGGCAACTGGCATGTGCTTATGACAGTTGCACTGTCCCAGGGTCATGCGATTCCATGTGTGACTTCCCAGCCAGCTTCTTGACAAGCAAATTCAATGGGAGATATCAAATTTGCTTCATAACCCCATGATTCACTTAACAACTGGCAAAAAAGGTACTAAAATGGGGCTCAACTCACTTAACAACCGCCATACTTAACAACAGAAATTTTCGGCTCAATTGCAGTCATGAGTTGAGGATTACCTGTAGTGCATTGCTAAAACACCATTATTGTGATGCACACTTTTTTTAAAAAATATCCTCTGAGTAGGGAAGAATTAAGCTTTATATTCAATGCATGCCCAAATAAAATACCATGTCCACAAAAATGGGTTTTCCTCACAATTCTGTTCATATAGTATATGTATGGATTGTAATTCTCATGCAATATGGCCTTGAGGTGTTATTTCCTGCTTTGGCCCTTTGAAAATAATATCCCCTTGGAGATCTGCAGGGCTCCTACAATGCCCATCTTTAAGAGTACTTTTAAAAATAGCTTTTTCTGCAGGCTTTGAGTTGGATAGACAAGTCCCTTTGTTGTTGGAAATACGATTGAAGGACTTTACTCCTAAATAGTTGCTTTTATTGATCCTGTTTTGTACAGAATTTTGTTTTGTTTCAACATTGTGAGGCTGCCAGAATCATCTGGATAGGAGCAGGCTAGACATTAATTTATTATTTTAATATTATATACAAACCCAAGTGTATACATGTAATAAAGGCAGACAGAAAGGGGGGGAAATCACAATAAAATCAGAGGATAACAATAAACTCCCAAGTGACAATAGCCATTAAAATCTTCCTTAAAACTATGTTTCACCAACAGCTTGAACGATATGATTCCTTTACTAAGGAAAAAAAAGCATCATAAGCGAGATATTACTGTCCATAAAGTCATTTTTATAACCTCACCTGTGACATGAAAAAGAACGTTAGATAACAAAGTACATTTGGAACAAGCCACATTATTGCTTTTCGCTTTCTCAAAAAGCAATATGCCTCTTGGCTTTCTTTCCAGGTGGCAAATGGTTGCAAAGGACAAATGATTATAACATCCAGAAGACAGAGAAAGCAGGGAAAAATAGATCCATGGAGCTTTGGTATAGGACAGTGGTGGTTAACCCCACCCCCCATGCCCCTGCACATGTGTGCGCAACCCCCTGCACACCGCGCATCTCTGTGCATGTGAGCATGATCCCCCCACGCTATGCATTTCTGCGCATGCATGCGAGACCCCCCCCCGCACGCACTGCGCATCTCTGCACAAGTGAATGCATCTCCTGCGCAACCCTGCCCCTCAGCGCATGCGTGCCAGATACCCAACAATAAGCGGGCGGACGGGCGGCGGACGCGCATGCACAGTGAACCTGGGTGTGGGCTCGCATGTCGGCAGTAATGGTTCTTCGTGACACTTCCGGAATGCATGCCATAGGTTCACCGTCACGGGTATAGGAGGAGAGTCTTTTGAGCCAAACCTTATTTTCTTCTCTTAAATACTGGAGGCATGATCGCTTGGTATCTTGAACCTGTTCCTCTCCAAAATGTTGGGAAACATGATGTCTCAGTGCAGGTAGTCCTCGATTTACAACAGTACATTTAGTGACCGTTCAAAGTTACAACAGCATTGAAAAGAAATGACCCATGACTGCTTTCCACGTGTACGACCATTGCAGCATCTCCATGGTCACGTAATCAAAATTTGGACGCTTGGCAACTGTTTCATATTTATGACGGTCGCAGTGTCCCAGGGGTCATGAGATTCCCTTTTTGCAACCTTCTGACAAGCGAAGTCCATGGGGAAGCCAGATTCACTTAACAGCCGTGTTCCTAACTTAACACCTGCAGTGATTCACTTAACGACTGTGGCAAGAAAGGTTGTGAATGGGGCAAAACTCACTTAACAAATGCTTCACATAGCAACATAAATTTTTGGGCTCAATTGTGGTCGTATGTCGAGGACTACCTGCTACTACCTACTTATTTAAATTTTGATACTGTTTTTAACTTGTACAAAAGTAAGGAAATGCATAGAAGAGCTATTCTAGTCAGTTATTTCTTGTCAATACAATCATATTACAAAATATAACTTATTGAATTCAGTGTTGTTACTTAGTATTTAACTGTCTTGTTCAGTCTGATGTCTTTCCAATTCCTTCAAGTTCAAAACATTCATGCATATTTTTTTGTTTAAAAGGCAGCCGACAATTTCTTTTGTGCCATCTCCAATGCTCTTCCTGTTTTTTCATCTTTCTTACCCTTTCTATATGTCTGTAAAATCCCTGTAATTCGACAGAAATGGTTTGATCTCCGCTGCCTGTTATCTTATCTGATGCTTTTGTATAGAAAGAACAAGGTTGAACTATGCTCTGTAGCAAGGCTTTGCATTGTAGAAAAATTACCTCTACATAGCTAGATGCACTGTGCCAGTCAGCTATTGATATAATTGTACAACCTCAGAGGTTTCTTTTAATCAATGTTCCTAGCATTTGGAAAGCTTCAAGGGCATAGTTAAGGAAGAAGTACTGAAATAAAATCACTGGCTGGGCCTTGCACCAAAGAGCTTCTATGAAAAACAGCTTTCTTTTGTCCTGTTTCTTCTGTATATTTTGGAATATAAAGAGAATGCAGTGCTGTATGACGTTGCAACCTCACTATGCAATATTCTAACAAAGTTTCTAGGATGTAGAATACAAGATAACAGTAGAAACTAATCAAGCCTTTTAAATTTAAATTACGTGTGTGTATAATCACATACATGGGACATATAAGATGATAAATATGATGTTACTGCTTTTCCCCAAACTTTCTTACTGTGTCATCTTCTTTTTATCAGTCAAAATTCTCTCTGATTCAATATGGCTTTCTTTTAGAGGTAGTTACTGCATCTGTTATTTGCTGCTTCATTGTGATGACTCAGTTTCCATTTCTGGGCCCTAATGGCCTAAGCAAGACCTAAGGATAGGGGAGGAACAGCTCCAAATACATTTTTTTCCCCTCAATCAGTCTCAAATCCAATTAAATGCTGCAGCTCCCTACCAGGCTGAGG